CAAGAAAAGGGTCCCGTGTTCCCTGGGGAGGAGAGGGCACCTGAGCCAGGTCGCTCGGTGGGGGTGAACAGCCCTAGACCAGCCCCAGGGCCTGTACGAAAGCCAAGTGCAGCTTGTGACGAAGCAGGGAGAAACCCCAGCTGCAGGTGGCTGGAAACTGCGCTGCGCCGGGTGCATGGTCTTGTGGAGAGGCTTTTTAACTTAAAATAGGAAGGTAGGAATTACGTGACTAGGTTAGTGTCCAAACATATACGTGTTTGTGTGTATCTTTATTTATTTGTATGCAAAACAAGGAAGATGCGGTTGTTGGGACTTCATTGACTTTTACAGATAAATGCCTTCCTGTCCTATTACTTGCAGTCCAGTCTGGGTGAAAATTACCACAGTCATTTAAATGACTCCCTCACCTCTCCTGGGCTCTGCGGGGGTCGTGGCTTAAGCAGCTCGAACACGCCCATAAGGCGAGCTTAGCGCGGCACAGCCGGCCTGAAGTGTGGCTTTGAGTCGTACCCTCCCAGCTTAACTGCACAAACCAGCCTTCTGAAGGAGCTCCTAGTGCTAGGCAGTTTCATAGCTTCACATCCAAACCGTTTTCAGCCAGCTAAAATTTTCCTTTTAGGTAACTTTTATTGATGATAATGATTAATTATTATTTTTAAAACAAACACTGAACATGGCTGTGTATTGGGGTGCAGTTTCAGCTTCTGAGAAGCAGAGCTTCATTAGTAGTAAATTACCATAAAAAGCTTACTAACGATAATACAAGAGCTTGAAGGAGCAGCAGAATTAAACTAGTTGTAAAAGTTGCTGATATTTAATTTGCTCAATTCAAAGATTAGGCATCAAACGGAGTGGAATTTCACTACTTGTCTAAATGTAATTCTATGCAGTATATTAAAAAAACCTATTTTTTGTGCATTTAGTTTACATTTGAACAGTGAAGTCAAATGAGTCTGAACTGTTTCTCATGTAGTTGTAGATACTAAGCTCTGTGGTAAAAAACGTGCATTGATATTAGGTAAATAATGGTGTGGAAGTGGGTTTTGAGGATGGGTAGGTGAGGTTTTATGTTTATTTTGTCACTGATTTGTCATGTAGCCTTGATAAGACTCTTGGTGTTGCTGCATCATTTTTTCCATTAGAAACTGCTTTGAGAAGCCTGTATTTAAAAGCAAATCATCATGCTATATGCAAAGAAATAGCATAAATAAAGAAATAGCATAAATTATACATCCTTTTTTTCTTTTTTTTTTTTTTTTTCCTTGAAGTAATAGAGGAGTCTCAGTAATTACTGCAGTGGTGTGGTGGTATTACTGCCAGACTGAAATTTCTGTCTGCTGTATCAATATTGATAATTGTATTTAATTTTTTTCCATCAGTTTTTCATACTTTCTTCAGACAGAGGAAAAAGGAACAATTCCATTGCATATGATTTGAAGAAACAAAATATTTCTGCAGGTGCCTTTCGTGGACGCATCAGAGAAGTGGTGACAGGCTGCAGTGTAAGCAGATTTTTTTTTCCCCTGACAGATAATAATTTGGCTATGAAGCCTAATGCTGCACATCTGCAAATAAGTTAATTGGTAAGTGTGGAACACAAAGAAGGTGAAAATGAGCTCAGGCTCTGGCTCTAGCAAAAACATATTTCAGTTTTATTTATTAATGTTTTTATTGTGGCATCCTGAGTCATCATTGTGATGGATGTCATGCTTTAAATAAGGGAGTACATAGGCAAAAAGGGAAAGGGATTAAACAAAATATAGTGGAATTCAGCTGCTCAGTCCGATAGAGAATAGCCATGGAAACACAAGGTATTAGCTAGCTGTCCTGCTGCACTGAAACCATGCATTCACTTGGGCCAGTGCAAGTTTGCGCCAGTGCAAAAAATTGATCTTGCAGGAAACTAATTTCACAGCAGTAAAATTAATGTTTTCCAGCCAGCTCAGGTTGCTGCAAAATTAATACAGAAGATAAAGAGAGGAAATGAGAAAGGTTGATTGAGATTACAAGAAGCAGAAGCACTTGGTGGTGTTGCAGAAATCAGTGCTGAATTACGCTTTGTGCTCATACAAGCAACTTCTATTGACTCATCGTTGATGTGCACCATGTCGGCGAGCATGGAACAAGGTGAGAGCCAAGTGTCACTCCCGCAGGCCGGCTGAGGGGCTGTCAGGGCACTCAGCATGGGGCCAAGAGTGCTGGTGGGGGAGGCCAGAGCTCCCCACCAACCTCGTGGCAGGGCGTCTCCTTTCCTCAGAAGTGGGGCCCAGGCTGGGCAGGGGACACCTGCTGGAACTCCCTGCCTGCAATGCCCTCTCGTCTCCAAGGCCTTCTGCCCTGCCTCTCAGCCAGCAGGGCAGGGACAGAGCAGGCCCTAGAGACAATCCCACAGGGATGCTTCCCTCAGCCCTGCAGAGCTGCTCATTCCTGATGCCATGTGCTCTCTCCCTCCAGCCTGCATGTTGTGTCGTCGGGAAGATGCTGACCCAGATATTTGTGGGTCCACAGTGGAGAGAAATGGGATCTGTGCCCATGAATTTTGCCTGGTGAGTTATGTTCAGGCTCCCTCCAGCTTTCTGACAGGCATTCCCTGCCACGGTGTCCTCATCAGCCCCTTGTCTTCCCTCTTCTGCAGCGTTTTGCCAAGAGGCTCTGTGACCAGAGGAGTGACACTGAAGCAGTCATGATATTTTTTGTCACGGATGTCAGGTGCATGATTGAGCAGGCAGCACAGAAGGTGAGGACTTGAAAAGAACGGGGATTTGTGCCAGGAGAAGTTTGCAGGAGCTTAGCCCAGACCCCAGGAAAGAAACCCTAGCCCTTCCAACTAGCTCTGGGACAAAAGGCTTACTCCCTGCAGCTCCACAGAGGCTCCAGCACGGGTGCCTCCTCTGCCAGGCAGATCTGCAGGGCGTGACCCTGCAGTGGCCACATCGTGTGCCCTGCCTGGAGATGTGGGGCTAGCTATTGAGGCCACGAGGCTGCTGCTGATGGGAGCTGCTGTGCTCTTTCCAGCACTGCTTCGTCTGTGGTGAGAGTGGGGCCAGCATCACCTGCTGGGAGATGGACTGTGACCGCAGCTTTCATTTGCCCTGTGCTGTGGAGGGTGAATGTGTCACTCAGTTCGTTGCTCCATACAGGTACCTCCACTTCCCTGCTCTCCCTGACCCAAGAAGGACCCAGCACTTCTCACCTCACCCATCCCTTTACTCTTCCCCCCCAGGGCCTTCTGCTGGGAGCACCGCCCGCAGCAGGCAGTGGAGGAAACTCCAGAGGACAATAACATCTGCCTCATCTGTTTGGATCCTGTGGGGGACAAAAAGTCCTACAGTACCCTGGTGTGCCCAGCGTGCAAGCACGCCTGGTTCCATAGGGGCTGCCTCCAGGTAGGAGCCATTCCCTCACTCCTGTGGCATGGTAGGTGCTGAGCAGCACCAGGGCCTCAATCAGGCTCCTTCTTTTTCTCCTGCAGGGACAGGCTATGAGCAATGGATTTACATGTTTCCAGTGTCTGATCTGCAGAGACAAGGATGTCTTTCGTCCAGAAATGTGCACCCTGGGGATCCGAATCCCCTTAAGGTTGGTGTCCTTTTGGCCAGCTTACAAGTCAGGAGGGTGCAGGCACTGAGCTGTACATAGGGCTGTCCCAGCAGTCCTGACCCTCTGCTGTCCCCTGAGTCTGGGCTTCAGCTTTATGTAGGACTTGAAAACAGGGCAGCAGGGGAAGAGCTGGGATGTCCTGCATCTGCCTTATGTCAGCACAGCAGGGGCTCATAAATTTTCCTTTCTCCATCAGTCTGCCATCGTGGGACAGCCAAGCATTTGCAGAACTAAATGCGAGGCACAGCCGCTGTGATGCCTGGGAGTGCTTTTGCCTAGGAGGCAGAGAGCAGGTGGAGGAAGAGGGGTAAGTTGCCAAAACTGCACCCTGGGGCTCTGCATGGGATCTCTGTCTCACCAAGGGCTCAAAGCTGAAGAACTGAAAGCAAGAGATTGTCTGCTGGACAATCCTGTGCTTTGCTCACTTTGTCAACCCATTTGCTTCCTCAGGCCCTGGCAGCTGCTCCTGTGCAGCTCCTGCGCTGCTGAGGGCACCCACAGATTCTGCTCCAACTTGACGAACAGCACAAGTAGCTGGGAATGTGACAGCTGTGCTTGCCTGGGCGCTGGTAAGAGGCAAAGCCCACAGATGCCCCTGGGCTGTGCAGCAGGTGCCCAAGGTGGGCTTTGCAAAGTCTTCACAAAGAGGGCTGGGGTCCTGTTCTGGCCTATCCTGCCCTGGGCCTGGGGGACTGCTGTTGACACTCCTGCTTCCCCTCACAGCCTTCAGCGCCACCTTGGAGCTCAGTGGCCCCAGCACCTCAAGCCAGGAAGCATCAGGGGCCTCCCACAGCTCCCCAGCGCTAGAGAGCAGTGGCCGCTCCAGGTCCCTTGGGCCCATGCGGATGCGAGACCATTCTCGCTCACAACGTTCGGCCCAAAATCCCTACAGCCGACCCAGCCAACGCAGAACCTGATGTGTCCTGTCCCAGAGTGCTGGCCCTGATCATCCTCCACCACACAACAAAGTTGACCCTTAACCGCCACACTGTGTTTGTGACATAAAGGTCACTATAGATGTGTTTCTACAGTAGCCCAAGGGCATTGCTCCTTCTCCAGTTCCTGTTCCCCAGTGCTGTACCTACTGAAGGTTCCTTCCCCCACTATAAACCAAGAAACCCTTTTTCATGAAAGTTGAAAGTCCTGGTAAAAGCTCAGGAGGATCATGGCAGTGCCTGTTACTGAGGTCGTGAGTCCCCTGCCATGCCTCTGAGAGCAAAAAAGTCCTATGTGCTCTATGGGAGGGTAACAAGAGGTGTGTCAGTCATCCAAAGGATTTCTGTCCTGTTGGAAACCTACAAGTGCCTTTCCAGTGCAGGAAGGAGGAACGAGTTGGTGGGAGATGGGCTGCTGATAGTGTTTTTAACATGCAGTCCTTCAGTTAAAACACTTGGTGATAATGGTGCATTCTGTGCCTGAAATGGCACCAGATGAAGGATGTTCACAAGTTTATGGAGCTAATAATGTTGAGCTAAGTCTACCAAGCTGTTTAGTTGGCTTCATTGTCTTGCTGCCAGATCTTTTTAATCTCTATGTCACAATTCTTTTGCCATTTTTAAGGCATTTAGAGGGATTGAAGAATCTTGATTTTTTTTTTGTTCTGACAAAAAGATTGTGTTACCCAAAATTTCTGTTGTTACAGCAGCATGCTTCTCTCTCTTCTGCTTTTCCATCCATGTGTGACAGAAGACACCGCAGCTGGATTTTATACTGAGCATTCTTAAGAACCCCTGGGTGTGAAAACTTCTTTGTTCCTCCTCTTGAGCTGAACAAAATTACAAAGGCTGCTTTCCTACAGCTCCGAGACCAAAGAACGTATTCCACCCCACTTAGCCAGACAAAAAGTCCATGTGCAAGTCTTCCCAGAGCCTCCAGACACATAGCACCTACCTCAAAGGAGAGTCCCTGAAGTAATTCACAAGCAGAAAGTGGCAGTATTTCTTCATTGAGGGACAGGATGTGCACCTAGACAGCAATGCAGTGAGGAAGTGGCACCTTTGTAATTCTCTGCTGGCTGAGTTGGTCTTGTAGTTGAGACTTGATTATCCAGCAACCCTATCCTCCTGTTGCCTTGCTGCCATCAGCGTCTGTAGCTCCAACAAATAACTGCACTTGAACTTCCCAGAGCTCTGTGTGATTCGGGAATCAGTCTGACAGACAATTGGACTGGGCAATGCCGCAAAAGGATTTTTTTTTTAGGATCACGGGAGTTGCCAAGTCTCATATTTTTTTCATATGAAAATCTTAAAAAACTTAAAATCTTAATATCTTAAAAACTTAAAATCTGGATACGACTCAGCACTTTGTCATTAGCTGCAAGGAGCCATGGGTAAGTGTGTCTTTCAGTATGGCTAGATGGGAGCAGAGTATGTAACCAGATGAAGTGGCTGCTGACTGCATAGGTTTTGGACTGTTGAAGGTGACTAGGTTTTTTCTAGCAACCACACAGTTGTCATGACAAATATATTTAGCAAGCCCTCTGAGCTACATGTGAAGAATTCTGATCAGTATATCATGTCAGTTTAGAAATAAAAATAGAATTTCATTATACTTAAAATGGCCACAGATACTTATTAATCTCTTACAGTTAAGCCAAACACTGGCATTTTATGCAAGCAAACCTTGAGCATCAGTGAGATCTGCAGGAATACATCTGTTGAAAATGTTCTTATTTTGACATGTCTTTTGACTTGCTCTGCATTTGCTTTAATTTCCACTGGGTTCAGTGGCAAAAGCTTCCTTTAGATTTCCAGGAGAGGAGAACCAAGCCTTCAGGCACTGCAGGATGTTATTTACTGTAGATATCAATGACAGCTTTGTCTTAGAGCAACAGCATGGGTACAAGTCAACACTGCCTCATAATGTGTGTAATTATTTTCAATGAAGAAATTATTTAGTAGCTTTCTTCACCTTCATTTGATTCTGCTGTGGAGTGTTGCACACAAAGCTTAGTAACAGACTCTCACATCTGTGGTGTTCTGTCTTGACTTCAATATTTATCTTCTCTGTCATTATCTTTCGGGTTTGATTATCTTGTTTAACATGTTCAAATATTGGAGAGTCTTTCTGAGTGATAATGAAAAAAATGTGTTACGATTCATCAAGTATTTGTTTTAGTGGTTGACTGGCTAAATGCGTAGCAGTTTATGACAGTTTGTTTTACAGAAGCTTCTGTCTACATAAGCTAGTGTTACACTTTTATTAGATGTTTTATTTCTAATTATTTTCATGTCTTACTGTCACCAGTATGTCAGAGAAAACAGTATGTTTGGATACTGGGTTTTTAAGAACTGGAGTTGTTAGCATTGTTGTCCTACTTGATAATTTTGCTCAGACACACTCTAACATTTATTCCCGAAGTCACATTCACTCAGTCTCGGCTTTCTTCTCACTGTGGAGTTTGCAGTTGGTCCTGGAGAGCTGGGGAGAAACTGTTGCGGTTTCTGATGGTTGCAGTTACCGATCTTGGGTGTCAGCAGCCAAGTCCACAGGCATCCATGACCTTTTTTAGGTGCATTTCCAGGGAACTTCCCTCATTTCCAGGGACTTTTTCTATTTTGGAAACCTGCTTTTCTCCATCTAAATATTATAAATGAAGAAACATGTGACCCGCACGTCACATGAGGATTTTGCTTCATGTTATGGTGTGTATCTTTGTATTCATTAGAAGATTTGGTCTACGTCACTCCTGTTTATTCCAGGTGTTGCTACGTTTTAAAACAAGCCCATACAGGTTGTATATTGCCAGTATCAGACCTACGCTTGACAATTCAGAAGCTTAGTTTTGGACATTCACCCCCTCACCCCTACAGTTATCTCCTGCCAATTGATGTTAACAACCTAAGGTATTTCTTGTTGCACCACATTTGCTTGCACCAACATTTAAAGGTCTAAAGTTACAAACTATTTTATGTTCTGCTTTCAATTTTTCATTTCTTGTCATAGGAGAATCTTGTCCTTACTTTCTTATCCATTTTTCTTGTAACATGCTATTAATTTTCCACTTGGGGTTAAAATCCTATCTGATGTTTTAAAGCTACTCTGCCATGTAGTTTGGTGCAATGAGGATAGCCTAGTGTGGCCTTATGTTTAATTGCCTCATTGCAAAAGGCAATTGTGCTTAAACATGGTGCTGAAAATAACCAGCCATTTCACACAAACTGCTGAATTTCTAAGGACTGGTTACAGCAGTCAGGTATAACAAATGCTTATATTTAGGAAATATAAGAAAATACTCAGAAGAACATATAGTATTCTGTTTCCTCTTCACAAGCAAAGATGAACACAACTCAGAATCAGGATCACTCCTCATTCTTACTACTTTGGTAGAATAGTGGAACTTCCAAGAACTTCCAACTTTTTTACCTGAGTAAATGATGTGGATTAATAGCTGAAAGTAGTAATGCAGCCAGGGAGCAATAACATTGGTGGCTTAGAAATAGGGATCTAAGAGCAGTCTTCATGACACTTTGTGACAAAAATTGATAAATTCTGCAACACTTCACAGGAAGTTGTCCAACATGCCTCCAAAATTTTCAAGGAAAGTGTAAGCCATGTACACCCTCACTGATGAGGCTACTAATTGTTTGATTTACAAAATGCAGGGCAAAGTAGCTGGAATCCTGGGCAGAAATAAGTAATAGAAAGATGAGATATTACAGCACGAGAAAATAAAATTCAGGTGTTGATGAATAAACTCATCCCAGAGGAGTAATGAGTGAATTTTTATTGTCATAATAACACCTAAAAATACAAAAAGAAGCATTGAATTTGATGAGGAAAAGGCAACACATTTTTTACCCACCACTAGTTCATTTTTTTCAGGATTTATTAATGGCGGAGGAAGTGAACTGATGTTGGAAGCAAGGCCACTGTTTCCATTTGTTATTCAAAATCAGTCAGCTTGTAAGATTAGAAATTTTGCTTTCAAAAGAAAGAAATTAGAAACCTTGAAAGTTATTTACTTTTTCAGGCAGATGTAAGTAATCCATCAGTCGTAATGGCTAATGAAGCAAGACCAGGAGCATTGCCCTGTGTTTCTTGCCCTGTTTTAATACTGCGCTTTACAATAAACTTAACACACTGCAAGGCTAAATCTGTAGTCTTCATGCCAGTGAAATATTTGTGAAAGATACCTTTTCATGTGCTTATTGTGTTGTCTCAGGAATTGTAAAAAAAGTGGTAGGGAACAAGCTTATCTCTTATTAAAATAAGTATTTGAGATGAGAATCTGTAGCAGGAGTTAACAGCCTTTGCAAATAATGTGCCTCTCCCTAATGAGTTCAAAGCAGCTCTGCTGCTAAGAGGTGGG